TCGACTGTCAGTAAGATATTCAAGTGTCCTCAAGTGTTGAGTAAACACACCAAATCAAAAGAATATATATTTATTGTGGAAAATGTGGATTTTGTAGTAGCTTTAACTTTGGCATTTTCTTTGGATTACAGATACTTTGATATCGAAAATGGTAAGATAAAAAGATAGAAATAAGCAAAACCATACATAGCACACTACTGATTTCTAATGGAAATTGCATTGTTTTTTCAGACAACAGTCATCCTGCTGATGGTCCTATTCTGTCTGGGAAACTGTGCCTTTCTTGTGGCTCTGTTGGTAGGAATTGGGATGTCATAGAAAAAACCATGACACATCAAAAACAACGTACTATAGGATTCCTATTGTTTTTGCACCGGGGCCCAAAAGGGTGTAGCTGGGGACTAGGGACTGATTCTTCAATAGTAAAAAAACTGCAGAAAAAAACATAAAGTGCCTCCATACTGCTCCTGTGGTGTCATCCAAGTGTACATAAGCCCTGACATTTTGACTCTAAAGTGCTGCATTTACACCATGTTTTTACCCTAAAGCAGAATATCCCCCAGAACTGCACATCATGCACGTAGCTTTGGGCAAGAGCTTGTGTGCAGTGTGTGCAGAGGAGGATATCAGAAGACATTTAGTGGTAGAGGTGTGCAACACATCACTGGAAACGGTCTCCCAGCCATCTACCACCAGCTGTGTCTGTGGAAGGCACACAACACCATCAAAGACCATAGTCATCCAGCATGAAAACTGTTCTCTTTTACCATCTAGTAGATAGTACAGGAGCAGGGCTGCACCCACCTTCAGACTTAAGAATAGTTTCTATAACAAGGTCATCAGGTTTCTCATGACAAACAATACTCTGCACATCTGCTTGTTTTCACTTTTATTTTCCTCACCTCTCGAAAAATGGCAATAACTTACTTGATCTTTTCAAGGTCCATTTGAGTCTTTAAAAATGATTGTTCTGTATGAGAATTATACTGTAATAGTAATAGTATGAACAATGCTTGAATGAGTATGTAAAGTCTCTTATGTGATCTGATTGTACCATGCCATTCCACTTTTCAAAAAGTTTCATAAGTTGTGTATGCATATTAAGCTGTCAGTGTGTCATTTTGATTAGGGTTAAGGTCAGGAGAAAGTAAGTAGATAAATGACGTGCCATAAAAAGATGTGAAATGTATGTGTTATTCACCCTTTGGTGATACCAGGCTGGGCTCTGCAGCAATAAAATATAAAACAACACCATTTGAAAGACTTGAAAATGCAAATTATTAAGTGACCACATTATTAAACTGAATCATGTATTTATTAAAACAGAAAATATTCATTATTTACATCAGTAAGGTCAAAGATAAATGCACAGTATGATTGATCATAATCGTGTGTGTGTGTGTGTAGAGGGGAACTATCTCAGCTGCTCCAGGTGAGTTTGAACCCTGAGGGCAGGGTGGAATACTGGGCTTGAAAAACGATGTAGACTTGATGGGAGGTGGCTCTGAAAGGTGCGATGTTGGTTTCCTTAACAAACAACAGAAACAAGTAGTAACTAGTAACATGCTACATACTATAGATCACACATATTGTACACAAGTATCTCTAAACCTTTTGCATATTTATATTACCTCACACTATTACTGTAATTTATACTCCGTAACTGTCAAACAGACAAGGGTTTCAAAACATAGTATATAAATATGCACTTATTTGAATCACCTGTTTTATATAATGTCCATAGATGGACACACAATCCAATTTTCCTGTTTTGACAGTTTAGCTCAAGTATTTGGATAGTTACACATGCATGTACATCTACTTTTACTAGTTTAACAACAGAAAAAAGGTTGCTACACCAGGCACGTGGTTCTAAAGGGTTGTTCTTGTTCTCTCCATTATTCACGTGTGCTTTGGGCGTTGGTCTGAAACTATTCAGAGTGCCATCTCCTATTTAGGGATGCCCACATGTGGAAAGAAAAGATGTGGCTCAATCTTTAATGAAAGCTTTTGTTGTGGGCAGCCTCACTCTTGGAGTGCACTTGAAAGTGTGCAGTGTTTCTCATTAATTACTTAATGACCTCTCATAGTTTAATATGTCTGGCCATAGTTTTGTAATGATCTACATTGTTTTTATGCAACTAATAATAACATAAAAGATGTCTGTTTGCTGCTTCTTTGTAGAGCTGTGTGCAGAGTCCTTCATTCTTGCTTGCTCTCTTAGAAACATATACTGACATCTAGCCTGTGAATCGTCAAAGCAACCTTAACGTTTTTACCGTCCTTTGATATCAAATCCTTGTCAGTCAACTCTTCTCTCGTCATGTGATGAGACTCCAGACTAAACACTGAAATTAAGTATTTTACAAATAAGGTTGAAACAGAGAAACGTTGTAGGTTCAAATATTTCTTTTTTCATTCAGTGGTACATTTTTATTTTTCATAAGTAAAGTTCTTATGTTAAAAGGTCCTTACTTTTTTGAAGGTAAGAAGCAGAGGATGGAAAGAACAGAAAAATATGATACTAACCTTAGTCCTACCACTTATGAATATATTAATATGAGTGGTTATTTAAGGATGATTCAATAGAATATCAATGGAACTCTGGATCCTGTTGAATTGAATTAAAGTGAGGCTCAGCCTATTCTAATCCTAATGTATCAGTGGCTAACCTCCTATTCACTTGCAATCTGTGAGAACGAGAATGCAAATAAAACATTTGATTTCTGTGGCGAGAACAATTGCAGCGCGGCTTCAAGTTGCTTGACATTCACATGCGTGACTGTGTCCTTAATTTGAAGACATCCCATTGTTATGACTGTTAATGACTGACGTAAATATCCTTCTCAAGTCTGCTCCATTACAGCTGAGGTTATGACTGCTTATAGGTTACATACCACTCCACAGTAAGGTCCAACAGGCAGCGAGGAGGTGTCTGGGCCATCATACAACTTCAAGAAGTTACTCTGGCAATTTCCAGGGTCATCAATACTGATCTGGGCAAAGTTGATGGTCAACACATGGCCTCTGGGTGCCCTAATACTCCATTCACAGTTGGTATTGTTAGGATAGGTGCCAGGGTAGTTGGGACTTGAGAATGAGCCGTGGTCTCCAGACAGATTGCCACCACAACCTAGTACCAAACCAAATTTGACAAAGATGCTTTTTTTTTAAAATGATGTAATGTAATAAAAATCTAAACACATAAGGTATATAAAATACAATCCTGGGAAATAAACAATCTTCAATCCAGTGGTAGGCCAGTAGAGATTAAATAATGACAACTTTTTTTTTCTATCCTCAGATTAAAAGCTGTCAAATAAACAGTAAATACATATAAATACAAATAAACAGCGAATAAAGATTATGTTATAAACTGTAGAATTTGAAAGATGTGGGTGTATATCAACTAGTGTTTGGATCTCATAGAGGTCCTTGTAAGAAAATTCATTCAAGGAAAATATTTTTCATCTGTCGTTAAAGTACCCCTTAACCCTTAACTTGTTGGTTTATCTTTTATCTTGGATCATATTTTTTTTCTTAATTTTTAGATATTTAAATTGGTGACAGAAACAGGTTTAATTTTGGGTTGAAATCACAGCTCTTTAATGTACCGTATGTATGTTTCATGGAACATGTAAAATCATTTGTACAAACAGTTGGTTCTGACCGTGAGGGGAGGATGTCCATGTGACCTCAAAGCCATCTCGAGCACCGGAGAAGTCACTCTTGAAGCGCAAGTAGAGCAGATTGGATTGTGGAAAGATGGGGCTGGGCAGTGTGCTGCCACAGAACCGACCAATCAGTGGTGAGTCTGCTGTACTGCCGTTACGGATCTGGGAGACAAGGATTTGTGAATTACTGAATAACCGACACATCACACATAAAGCCCTTAATAATCAAACCCCATTATATATTTAAGAGGTCATACCTCCTGTTTATCCCAAAAGATGGCTTCAACCCTTAAATACAGCCTCACTTGTGGTTCCTATAGTCTGTAAGAGTTGAATATGAGGTAAATCCTTAACTAACAGGCTCTTCTCCTGTGTAACCAGATCCCAGTTTGGGTTTCGGGAGGCAGTTTCGAAGGTAGACACACATAATGCATTGAGCACTTTTCTTTTTCCCTCTTTCTGCCCCCTGTAGTCAACCCTCATTTAGAGCAGGTTATTGTGTGCGTCTTGTTAAGATAAAGAAAATCCTTTCAAGTGAGGAAAGTATGGACAACATGTAGATGCTAAAAGTTGAAAGTAGTCAATATGTGTGTGTCTGTCCAATGTACTGATTGTTTTACCTCCAGATAGTCAAATCCACAGTTGCTGTGGTTCTCCACATCAAAACTGTTAAAGAAGAGGGAGATGTAGTTGTTCTGTGGTGCCTTCAGGATGATGGTGCAGTCCATGTTGTGGGGGTAGATGTTCGGCCAGCCTGGACTCTTCAGGTAGCCATATTCCTGTTCATAGGTTCGACTACAGCCTAAAAGTCAACACCACAGTCAGAGCTCTCATAAGGAAGTAGGTACTTCAGTACACACCATGCCCACTGTTGTAAAACCTATTGTGCAGATTTTCTTCTAGAAAAGTAGTCTATGAAATCTGAGAATGTTCTGTGGATTATCCACAGAAGTTTTAGAGGAAAAAAGACAAACATCACATGATATTATTTATATGAATTTTGGTAGCACTGTTATCAACATTCACTAAATAAATAAAAAACTTCATAGGACTCCAACAGCGTAGCAGTGCTTACTGATAGGATGGTGTGCATACATCCCATTTACCCAATGACAACCACATGCTGGAAAACATAAAACTATCTATAGTTCAATGTACAATTAATGTCAAAACTACACTTGATTAGCCTATGAGGCAAAATGTGATTAATTGATTGATTGACTTGCAGACTTATTGCATCTGAAGCCATTTTTTTCATGAAATTAATTCTAAAATAAATAATAAATTATTTTGGCAGGGAGTTTTGACTCTGTTTCTCATCTTGTCACAGGTAGACTGTGTACGTACTGGCAATCTGATAGGTGAAACTCAGGCCATTTCCTGACATGAAGGTGTCAGATTTGAAATACACATGGACCGTTCTGCTGTAACTGTAGAAGTCTGGTGGAAGACCATCCGATGCACAGAACTTGAGTGACTGCCCATAGTCTCCCTGGAAAAGAGGAAGCAAACAATAAGACAATGAATGTGATTAAGGTAAACTAGATTGCTTAGAAGGATCTTGCCTCCACAATATAGCAGTCAGGTCTGTATCCATCTGTTTTATTGGCCTCAGAGCACTAATGGTCAAATAGTTCTGACTTTGTGTTTGAAGAAAAGGCAATAGCTGCTGTTTAATCTGTATCTGTTTAATCTTTAAATACGGTCTTCCCTCTGGACCAAAGTAGTCACCTTATTCCATCCTGCTCGGACCTCAGACTGGCTACCACTCTCCTCACTCCTAGGCAGCTGTGCAATTCACATAAATCCACATGTATCTTTCCTACAGTGTTCAGACCTATTATTCCATTGTGTTGAAAAAAAGTATGGCTCCACTGAAAATCTGTAAAAATCACCAATCAAAAAACAGAAAAGAAAAAGTAAAGAATCATAATTCCAGTAAACATCTGTCATATAAACCTGTCCTGGTGTCAGTAGGGAGCTCGTTCCCCCATTTAGGAGACAAGACAGCAAACAGTCGGGGTAGCAGCAAGACGATTGACAGATGCTGAGCGGAGTGGTTGGGCTGGGGTGTAAGGTTTGACCATGTCCTGGATGTGGACTCCGTTCGCATCACAGGTAATGATTTACTTTTGTTTTAATCTAATGCGGTGGGTTGACCCTGGAAATTTCTTTACAAAAACACCCCAACAAGAAAAAAAGGGGATAAAGGAGCTTTGTCCAGACAGACATGATTTACAGATTCAGCAGCATGTGGTGAGGACAAGCACCCGCTCTTTTTATGAGAAACAGAGTTGGCTAACTGGATGTGGTGTAAGAAATGTCTTTTACTGTTTCCCCTGTTTGCTCAGTGATCTACTGTGGACAATGACGGGGGTGCAAGACCTAAAACCTTTCTCTGAAAAATGCAAATGACATGAAAGTTGTCACAAAGACACAATTAGGCTACATTATTTTGTCAGGCGTACACTGTAACGAATTGTTGTATATTTACGGTGGATTTACAACAGTATCCTACTATATTTTATAATAATTGTAAAATACTGTTAAATATTCATCCCTCACATGTAAATTAACAGTTAAATCAGTCATTTAACAATACCAGTAGATAACTGTAATTTAACAGCATAAAACAGTATTTGTAATGAATTGCTGTAAATTTACGGTGGATTACAACAGTATCTT